AATTCATTGACAGTATTGTAAAACACAAAAATCTCAATTAACTGACAATCAAACGGCAAATCGTATTTTTCTAACATTTTTTGCTAAAGATTTTATTATATCATTTAATTTAATGTTTTCCTTATTTAGTTTTGTTTTCAATTTAAATATTTTATAGATCAATAATTAAGCGACGATTAAACTAATAATTAATAATAAGATTATAGTAAATATTAAACCATTTTAGCTAAATTTAATGTTATAATTTATGACTTATAAACTTTAGCTAAAAGAGGAAAAATATATATCTTATAGTCTACGATCAACAATAGTAAAGTGATTGTTGTATAATACAGTATACTGTAGTGTATCCTCAATAGTAATGGGTGTGACAAATATGAAGCAATAAATTTCACATTTACACAAAACAATGTATTTTTCTCACACAACATAATACTAACATACAGTACTACAAAACAGTGTGTTGTTATACAGTTATATTTATTTTGAGTTAAATAGCAGTTTTTATTTTGTTAGTAACACATACAGTACAAGTATATACACAGGTATTATATCATAAAATATAAGGAAAGCTTATAAAAGTTAAGAAATTGCCGCCAAATTAGTTTCTTAAGTGATTTTTTTTGTGTTGTTGTGTATGTATTTATATGTAGTTTTGGGACCTGAAGTAGTAGTGGTTTTTGTTTGGTATGTCATAACAAAATACAGTACTATATTAACGCCTTTTGAAACAAATATAATACAACACAGTCTATGAGCTTAAGTGATGAGATAGAGAAGCAATTCTCGGAAGAAGTGACTCAGGAAATAATGTAACGACTAATAAATGAATTAAGTGTTTGAAAGCAGCCATTAGTGACAAATAGTGTAAGAGAGTGGACGACATAAAAAAGTATTTTTTTTGGCAATGATTTAAGTGAAAGCATTAGACAAACAACAATTGTCGGCCCAAATGCCACATCATATTCAACGACGTAACCGACTCTCTCTCTCTCTCTCTCTCTCTCTCTCTCTCTCTCTCTCTCTCTCTCTCTCTCTCTCTCTCTCTCTCTCAGTACATACAGAATATGTTGTAACGCATATTCATCCGATTCTCACTCTCCCTGAGCTCTCCACTCAATCCCTCTTGTGTTTGAATATCATCATCTGATTGAACACCGACACAGCCATTGGACAAGTGATTTGTGTTATAAATGTCTTTTGTTGGCCATTGTTTGGTCCACTATAACCACATGTATTGAACATATGATCGATTGACAATTGCAAACATGAAATCTTCATCAATAATATAAAAATGCATAAATCTATTGCACATTCATAATCATAATCATAATAATCAATGACTTAACAAACATAGTTTGAGAACCACTGAATGTGACAATCACTTTGGCGTAACTTTTTTATATGTATTTATGCGTTCATTATTTATATTTACTTTTAAATCATTCACTAAAACTATCACATATTATATATGATATATATATATTGTCTAATATTAATCTCTTCATTCAAATAATTTATATACTGTAAGAAAAAATCAATATACAATTTGAATCTTCATTTAATAACTTATCATAAATATTTTTTTATATATTTAGTTATGAAAAAATAAAATTAATAATTTTTATATTTTTGAGCTGAAAACTATAATAATAAAATTTATAATTGAATAAAATATTGTATATTTGCTAAACAAAAAATATTCCAATACTTATTAATAGATAAAAAAAATAAGTAGATTATCGTATAAATATTGCTATCAAACAACAAAATATTATGAAAATATGACTAAATAATAGCAATAAATAAACACAAATACATTTACAAACATATTATGTTTGTATAGAAAGAAATATTACACTAAAAATACATTATATGGAAACAGACTCCGAAAGGAGTCATTGATTGAACCAAAAAACGAATAGAAAAACATTTTTTTATATATTCAATGAATAGATTCAAACTTTTTTATTTGTTATGTCGTGTTTTTTGTTGTTATGTTTACAATAAAAAAGGTCAACGCAAAGGGGGAAAGGGAGATATGGGAAAGGGGTACACATATTGACCACAAAAGGGGTTTCAAAAATTAGACAAATGGATTGAAAGGGATGTGAAATGCGGTGAATGCTATTGTTGACAGAAAGTATTAAATGAAATCAACAAAAAAACATGTTATAACTTATTGGGCGGGTATTTGTATATCATATTTGGTGGCATAATGTTATGCCGAAACTGTGAGACACTAAATAAGCTCCTAATAACCCCTTTGATTGGCCCATTGGGCGACACTACTGTACCGTATATATCGTCAACTGAAATGTCATTCATTATCGGTTCAATCAATTTCATCCCTTTCCTCTCTTTCACCAAAATACATAACCCATAGCTATTATAATGCAAACTATGCTATTTGTTTGCCTTTTGATTATTTCATAAAATCCAATGACTACATAATCGATGATTCAAATGCTAATAATAACAATAATAGCATAAAAAAGTCATAAAAACAAAATTACAAAATTATTATAGACTTTGTTATTCATTTTAAATATAAAAATAAAAAATAGCATTATTTTTTATTTTAATATTAATACATTATTTCCAAATTTTAATGATTTTTCTCGTTGACGAATAAAAATTATTAGAAAATATTTTCATTTCAAATGATTATTCTTATAATAAGTATAATAATAATAATTATTACAAAAGAATTAAGACATTAATTTATGTAATAATTGTCTGCAAACATACTATTTAATCGACACAATAATATAAAAAATAAAATTAGTAGATTACTATGCAATACATTTATGTCATAAAATTAAGTATATTTATAAACGCAAGTTCATTGATACTAAAACAAACTTTTATTTTTGAAAATAGGTAAAGGAGTAGAAAACTAAATATATTAATACTAAACAAAAATGATATCCTATCTGACAATTGACATACAGCCAAAAAATATAGTAATGTTTATAAAACATAACATAATTTATTACAGTATTTTATGCATTTTTCGTGATTGAAATAAATGTATCTCTTTTATTATTATTACAAACTACTGTAAATACAATATAACACTTTTCTCACACAATGTTTCATATATTTAATATTTGTTTCTATATATATACAGTATATATATAAACTTTCTATTATGAAATAACGGTTTTTCACAGTGAATATAACATTTTTTCGACAATTTGATGTAAACTTTTACTTTAATGTGTGATAATATTGTATTGTATAGTATAGTAATAACAGTAGTTGTTTAATAAATAAAAAAAAGTAAGTATAGAACGGTTTAATATTAAAGTTAGTATACAATACATTGCGTGCTAAATAACATTAACATTTTACTCAAAAAAAAATTCCTTATATTTTATTGATATTTATCTATATATATACTGTATGTATATATTACAGTATATATGTTAAACAGTATTGTCATTATAAACAAAACATCATAATTCACCCGTTTATATATTATATAAATTAGAAATAACATAAAATAACAATTTTTATTTTTTTAAAGAATAATAATAACAATTTTATATAATATTATAAACTTCTATAAAGTTCATAAACAGTTTATATCAAATAAATAATAAAATTATATAATATAACTTGAAATTATTAACTTAATATATTCACAATTTATTATAATCTGTAGTTTGTATTTCATATTAATATCTGTATTATAATTTTAAGTAAAACATAACATATAAAAAATTATTTTTACATTAACTAATAAATTAAAATAAATTCTATTAATATTATTATAAATAATGAAGTTAAACTTTAATTATTATTATACAGTATTATTATATTTATAATTTATTATGTCAAATATTGACATTAAATTTGTGTGTGTGTGTGTGTGTGTGTGTGTGTGTGTGTGTGTCTATCTGTGTGTGTATTATAAATTATTATGAATTTTCATATTTCTAACGTTTAAATGTTTCATAATAATGATTTCATTTTTTAAAATTCAATAAAAGTTAGATCAATATGTATATTAAGGGTATAATATTATATATAATTTATATGATGAAAACAACCAATGGAGTAAACTTCGAAATTTTTAAGTGCTATTTCATATCATAAAGTCACGTCAATTGTAATATTTTATCATTAATTTATGATAAGCTTCAAGGTGCAATTGATTGACTACCTTGGTCATTACTTACTAACATTACGATTAATAAAAAAAATAAAAATTTTACCCTTAGCATTAATTTATGATTTGCATGATAATCATATTTGTTTATAATAATGCAAATAATTTAATCAATTTTTCTAAAGAAAATAATATCTTTTTTCATAACAATATCATAACATATGATATTTAAATATAATTTTTAAGAGCAATTTATTTGGCTGTCAATTGAATTTTCATTGAAAACAGAAATATTTTTTTATTTCATACAATATTTTATTTGTTAAGTTCTTATAAAAAACATGATTCATGTGATCCTTACAGACTATACAGTTAGTTGTTGGTACCGTTGGTATACATTTATACAGACATTATGCATATTAATCATAGATTTATAAATATAAAAAATTTTTGTTCAAAACGATTATATAATACAATATAATGTATAATAGAGAGTATATATCAAATATTTGCAAAATCAGTTGGTGTATGGGGTTGGGTAGCACTGAAAAAATAGTTCAGATGGCGTCGGGTATATCGCAAAAGTGCCAAAAAAACAAGTGGTGTAAAGCATGACTCTCTCTCCCCTCTCTGGATGTATGTGCCGGTGCCGGCACTTACACCACATCAATACACACACATAACACGCCAACATTGAAGAAGGATATACACATAGTATCCTACATTTACAGTACTAACCATTAGTTTACATATTCAGTTCCCTAACACTTCTCTATAATGGTGTTAATGGCATTGAAGTGCAATTGCATAGCATATTATAACATAACATTTTTTTAAAACAAAAATAATGGTTAACTTTGTATATAACTAAATATATGCTTACGTTTGGCTCCAGTATTATCACATTTGATTGTCTTGAGTAGTGTTCCGCCGATTGCCTAAACAATTGTAATAAATTAGAAATAAAAATATTATAAATTATCTCAATATTTATTAAATATAAAAAAATGTTTAAGAAAATAATAAAAATCAATAAAACATTTCTGCAATTTTTGTTATATTTATTAATAATAATATATATTGTAATTATTGTAAAATAGAAAGTAAAATCAATAAATGTTTTGAATGTAATAAAAGTGTTAACAGGGAAAGGGATAGACTAATACAGTATATTAATATTGAATATTAAGATATAAAAATAAATTACAAAAAATATATACAATTATTATAAATGCATAAAAAGCTATTTTATATTTTTAGACATACTGTACAATAAACTGTTGTTAGAATATTGTGTGTAATGTATGTATAAAAACAAGAGTTGATGAAAAAATTGTGCCAAAAAAATACTAATGAAATAAAAAATCTATAGTTTCCATAGAGATATTAAAAAGAGATTCAATATATATATATATATATATAKAGTGGAGGGCTCTGTAATGTATGGTATCTCTCAAATTAGTTATATTCACCATCGCTCTCTCTCTCTCTCTCTCTCTCTCTCTCTCTCTCTCTCTCTCTCTCTCTCTCTCTCTCTCTTTATCTCATTTCTAATAGGAATGAGTTGTGTCTGGCGTTACGATAATCTCATGGGTACCCAAAAATAGCAGGAAAATAATGTTTGAGCTAAAAAGTAAAGGGACGTTAGTTTTTATATGATTGACTGACTGACTGACTGAATGAGAGAGTGAGTGTCTGTTCATTCATTGATGGCTCTGACGGATGTAATGTACTGAAGACCTCACTCTGAAATAATACCACAATATGTATATCATGTGATTTGATTGCAATATAATACTATGCTTAAGAATTTCAGGTGAAATCACTGAACATTTATTGCTAGAAATCGATGTTTTTAAAAGATTTTTGACCAAAAAAAACATTAAATAAGGGATTTAACAAAAAATAAATATGAGATCCTTTTCTGTCACGTCTAACATATTTTTCCTTTAAAAATAAAGTCACAACAAATGTATTGGCAATACTGTTATTTTGTTGAGTAATTCTATGGGAAAGTTATGTCTTAACTGATAGTCTCATCTAAATAGGAGTCACTTTTCCTGCCATTACTTTTAAGTAACATTCGATAATAGATTTATTTTTATTAAAATTTATTTAACTATAATTCAGTATATAAACAATAATACTATTTAAATTTTAATTAAGATATTTATTTGTATGACTTATGACATAATATAAAAATAACTTTTAATTTAATTGTAAATAATCAATATTTATTTTATTAAAATTAATTTCAATAGTAATAATAATATAATTATTAATTATATAAACAATATCTAACTATTGATAAAATATAACAAAAGAATAAATTTTTATATTTTATAAACTTATTTTTTGCTAATTTTAAAAATAAATGTTTTGATAAATATATTTAAAATGTTACATCATTTTATATTTAATTAATTTATGGCTATGAAAACAAATATTAATGTTACAAAAAATAAATATTTAATGAAAAAGTAATTTATTGATATACAGCAAATTAAGCAAATTATACTTAATTTATATAATACTCATAATAATTATCATAAACAGTATATAATATGATAATACGATCATTACGTGTATATTAAATTTAAATTAGGTCAAACTTATTTTTTGTTTTATTTTTCATTATTTATATAATATTTCAAAATATCTATTTATTAAATATCACATGTTTGATCATATCTATAATTAAATAGAGAGCACAATAACTTAAGAAGAAAAATAATATAATATATAATACTATACAACTATTTGCTATTAATTTTGTAATATTTTTTAAGTAAGTGATGAAATAAATATATCAATATAATAATTTATAATAAATTGCTAGTAAACATCTAATTTATAATAATAATAAACGCATTAATAGATGGTTGTTATATATAAATTGAGCGTGTTCAGTTAGTTATATTGCGGTCAAGTGATTTGCGTGTTTTATTTAAATTACATCAAAATTAAAAATCGTAAATAAGAAAAATTAGACATGAAAAACAAATTTTAGTTTTTATGATTAGTTGTTATTATTATATTATTATTATTGTTTCTACTATAAAGCAATTTATTATTTTCAAATAGTTTTAAAACAAATCTTTAAAAAATTAAACTAATAAAAAATTAACTTTTATTTATAATAAATGAAACTTATTTTTATAAATATTCATAAAATCAAATTTTCATGCAATTTGTGAATTATGTCAAGATCATTTATACATAAATTTATAATTATTATATTTTATTACTAATAAAATTTAGTATTTAACTAATATCAAATAATTTTATATATTTAATTATTATTTTATAAAACAATAAAATCTAATTTAATAAATCAATAATAAAGTATTGATTAATTTGTTTCAATTATAAATTGACTTTAACTTTTAAAGTAATTGATTTAATAACTATTTAAGGTATAAAGGTATTAAAATACAATTAAGGAAAGATTAAGCAATTGACATTTAAATTGCATTTTTCAAAAATAAAGTTTAAAAATTTATTAAAAGCAAATGAAAATAAAGGTAAAAATACTTCAAATTTTTAGATGTCATTAAAGATTTTCTAATCTCTCTCTCTCTCTCTCTCTCTCTCTCTCTCTCTCTCTCTCTCTTACTCTCTCTCTCTCTCTTCTAATTCTCACAATTTCTTTGAAAAACCAGATCTCAATTCAGGTGAAACTGTAGGATATGTAAGGATTTAATGGTGTGATACTAACACGTGAAGACATTGAACCGATTATATTGATATTAAATTATATTTCAAGTCATCTCTTTTATTAAATAAATGTTTCAATCAAAACATATTAGAAATATCAAGTTTGTCATAAAACTAAGTATATAAGAGATAAGTAAATACTAAAAGAAAATTAGTTGGAAATAGATATTTAAAGAGCAATTGAAGACAAAAAAAATAATTATTTTTATATTAGTCTCGATATAGTCAAACATATAACATATATTGGTATATAAAAAATAACCGAAAAATGGCTAATAATGGTTAAGCAATACTTTAGTGTTGTTATTGTGTTGTAAATCGCAGTTTTTGTTATATAAAAGCGGGAAATTGACATAAATGCAGATATTTTTATCTAAACATAACAACATTATTGATGACAACGAGTTATATGATCATTGACTATACAATTGTGAAAGCAATGGATAAACAGACACTCAAAGAGTCCAACAAAACATCTCATGTAAAGTGTTAGTCCATAGACTGGGTCTCAGAGTGAGAGTGAGTGAGTTGTGGTTTATCTCAATGTGTATGACAATCAATTTGGTTGTATAGTCGATGACTTTCAACTATTTTTTGTATGTCCGCACTCACTACCAGTGCTTCAATAGTAGTAAGACTGTCTTTTTTTAGGGACCGGCCATCTGCACCACTATTTGCCATATAATGGACACAAATGGTTTGCTAGTATTGTGTCTATAAAAATGCGGAAAAGCAACGACTCGTTTGGAGAGAAAGTTTGGGAACTCTTTCTTTTCTGAATAAAAAAATAGCAAAAACTGTTTTTACGAGTAATAGATAGGACTAAAGCAAGAGTTGGGACCAACTTTTAACAATAAATTAGTTGAATGAGTTATAAAGCAGAGAGAGAGAGAGAGAGAGAGAGAGAGAGAGAGAGAGAGAGAGAGAGAGAGAGAGAGAGAGAGAGAGAGAGAGAGAGAGAGAGAAACAGAGAGAGAGAAACAGAGAGAACCAGAAGACGGCACCGACAGACAGACACTTCCGCACAAAATATATGACAAAACAATATCATCACAAATACAACCCTTTTTTCTCTAATAAATTTACTTACAATTGCTATTTACATTTGTATGAATTTATTCACAAATAATATTGTTATTACAATAGCTATAACTATATAAGCTATAGCCTATAAGTGAAAGCAATACATTATAAATTATATATTTACATGAAAAACATGGCATTACTTTTTCACCCATTAACTTGACAATTGAATTACACTGCTATTAATCATACAAATGATAATCAATTGAATGATATGTTCAGCAACTAGTGTTGTGGTTTGGGATATGACATATTGAAATATATTTAACATTTTCACTATAATCAACACTTCACTACTGCAAAAACATTGTCATCAAAATTATTAAAACTTATTATAAACAGACATAATTTTAATGGTATACTTTAGCAAAATAAATATTAATATAAATGTTTTAAATAAATTTATATTTATACTTTTTTAAACACATTTTTCCTTAAACCATAATTACTATACTAAATAATAATCTTTTAAATAAATTAAATATACTTTTAAAAATATATTTATTTAAAATAAAAATTCATAATTAAAAGTTTATATATTATACAATTAATTTAGCAAAAATCTATTTCCTTTTTTCAAAAAAAATAATTTCAAATAATATAATTTTTGCTAAAATTTTCCTCAAAATATACCATTTTACTAATATAATGTTAGTCATTTGCAGTATAAATAACATTTGTAATTATTGTAGAGTATATACAGTATATATTGCTAAATATATTTTTAAAAATATTTAAACCATTTTTTCAATGACTAACAGCTAGAGTTAGAAAAGGGATAAAAAGTTGTGTATAAAGAGGTATAGCTTTAATTGAATGCAAACATCAGTACTTTGAAAAAGAGTTATTCATTCAAATCGATGATCACTTTAACTCTTTTATTCACACCATTGAGTTAACAGAAAAAACACTTTCACTATTGAAAAGATATATATATATATATATATATTGAAAAAAATATTATCACTACAAATACGTTCATAAAAGTATTGTAAACCCATTGATCAATTGATCACATGCTAATGTTTGTTGTATTTGCTATTTATTATTGTTATGATATGTTTTCAAAACGCGTGCCATTTGCTACAAACGATTGTTATATTAAAAAGTTTTTTCAATAAACTTGTTTTCAATTGTC